TACTCAGCAGGGTTATGCTTTTTATGTTTGTATTCTCCAATGAAGATTCAAAATTGTTGGCTCAAGGGAAGAAATAGGCTTAGTCCTAAACTGTGTTCTACATGGAAAAAAGAAAGTGAAAACTTTGTTAGACAATAAGCACTTTACCTCATCAATTTTTTTTCAACTCGATTGTTCCTTTTAAGAGGAAGTTTTTATAAAATGTGACTTCTTAATCATCATCTTTATTTCAGTAAAGTTGAAAGGATTTTTATCTCAGTACTTGATTTGGTTTTGTGCAGTTTGAGAGACTTTCATAACAAAAACTGGAGAAAGTGACAGACAAAGTAAATTTCACTGGTTAATTCTTTAGGATTACATTAAGCCCCAGTTAGGCATGTCCCTGTGCTGTTGGTCTTGACCCTAATGTTTGGCCGTTCTTGATGTAACTAAACAGCACAGGGTACCTTGTAGTGATTGCTGAAATCTTTGCTTCTCTCTGTCACAGGCAGTACCTGTTTTGGAGGTTGCCTTTGGTAGGACATGGGTGATATTCTCCTAAGACTGAGCAGTTTCTGATCTTTGCACAAGAAGGAATTTAGGATGATAGATACCCTGGTCTCTTTCTTTCCTAGAGATTGCATTGTAACCAGCCTTGCTTCCCTCTCAGAGACTTGTACTGTAAATTCACTGTTTATGATGTATTACTTTTAGTAGCTCTCTGTGAACACAGCCTGCCCTTTTCAAGATGTTATGTCTGGAAAGTTTCTGAAGAGTTAGTAAATAATTGCAGTTTGTTTGAAAGATGTATGCAGGCAGTGAATCTGAGTACATGCAGGTAGCTCAGTGTTTTTAGTAGTAAGAATACGCATAGCTAGAGGATTAGAAAATATCTGTTTTATAAAGTGTTCTGTTGGTTTCTTTTTCATTATATTGGTTTTACAAATTCTTTTTATCTAGTGACTAATGTATGCATGAGGAATATTTTTGTAATCCCTTGTGTCTGAGGGGCAGCAACTCTGTTGAAGTGTGTTTCCCAGATCAATCTCAGTCAGGCTATTCTCTTCTCTCTTCAGTCAATATACCAAGGAGAGGAAAGATAATGCAGTTTTATTTTTTAAGTGGTAAAGAGGGTAGAAGCTGTATGGTTGTTTTGATTTGGAAACACTATGATGACTTTTTTTCCTGCTATACATGGACAGATACATGTTGATAAAGCAATACAAATGATTTTGAGAATACCAGTCAGGCTTTCTGTAATCTCACTGAAAACACATATGTTTGCTCCAGAGAACATTGTAGTGTATTCTGATTTTCCATCTGCAAATTGCTGTATTTGAATGCAGTGTCTTTGTTACTCACCTGCTCCTGTGTCTTTCTTGGATTAAATAATTTCCACAGGAGCAGTTTGGGAATGCTGGTTATGCTTTCTTGCACTTCAGGGAATAACATTTAATATAGAAAATATGTTGGAAGAAACTTTTAAAAGAAGAATAGCTGGTATCTCTGTAGTAAATACCTCTGTATACATTGTGGCAATGCAGAGAAAGACATCAGACAGAGAAATCATTTGTTTTGAGGTTTAATTTATTTGTACTTCAGGGAGCAAGCAAAGCCCAGCAACTCTGACTTGTGCTGCTGCCACAACTCTCTGAGTTTTCTTTGCATGAAGAGCAGCTCCTGACCCTGGCTGAGGCTCAGTTCCCCTTGGTGGGGAGCACAGGTACAGAAGGTAGCTGCCAGGATATGGCCACTCTTTCCATGGAAAAAGCTAAATCAAGAGCCACAAGCCTCCACCACGGGTTTAATACACACTCTGTTAACAGCAGCCCTGGAAATTGTGAGATGCAGAAGAGCATAGAGGAGTTATTCTTTATATTTTCCTGGCATTGCCAGGAGGGAGGGCCATAATTGGAAGAGCTGTATTAGTTACAGTACATTTAGTGAAACCCAAGGTGGTGTAGGGATGAGGAAAGGTCAGAAAGCTGATTGGGGGGTGGAAATTAGGCTATTGCAGCACATTGTCTGTCCAGTGCTTCAGCCCCATTCCCCACCAGCAGGTCAGCAGTGTTGAATGGCAAATGCACATCTGGCGTGCCCCAGTGGTTCAGAGGGATGGATGCAAGTAAGGAGCTCCTTACTTGTGTCTAGTCTTTCCTTCCCTCTGCCCCTCACAAAGATGCAGCTTCACTTCTGGCTAGAAGAAGAATAGCAAGTTCTGTAAAGTTGTACACTGCCTTTCATGTTCTGCAACCATCATCTCTTTCTGCTGTCGTGTTTATTGCAGTGACTTCTGAGAGAGTGTATCCAAGAGCCTAAATGAAGAAATAAATACTCTGCAATTCCAGAGGTTCTCTTTGGTTCTTCTAGTTTCTGCAGGAATGCCACTGGACTCTTCGCATTTTATCCATGAGAAAGTGTATGCAGGACATCCTAAAGCACTGCCTGGAAATGCAGTACAATATAGCACATACATAGAGTGAAATTAGGTTGTTCAGAACAGTCAGTTTTGGTTTTCTCCCAACTTACAGAATAGGTATTGGGGGTGAGACAAGGGAAGACTCCCACAGTAGGTTGATAGACTTCACATATGGATACAATTCTGTACATCTAAAAAGCAAATACAAATATTCTCTAATAGATATCTGTGAAATCTCTGAATCCATGAGAGCTTCTGTATTCCTACCGTTTTCTAGCTAATACACATACTTTGGGAAGGGAAAACAGTCTGGGGGAAATTGTGTGCTCATGAAACTGAAGAGTGACCCTAAGCAGCTCTGTAAAAGGCATCAATTGTTTTCACACCAATTAAAGACCGAACAGCCTATTTCGTATTAGCTAAGTCTAATTTTGTTTCTAATCAGAAAACCAAATATCAAAGCAGAAAGCGTTTTTCTGATTTCTGTTTAGTGGCAATTACATCACATTTCATTTCGATGCACCAATCTAGGAAACAACACATGAATGGATCAGTTCTGAATCCTTAATTGTTGTTGGAGTTTTTCTTTTTTACTGCTACTGCTGTGATTTAGAAAAGCTTTTAATTTCTCAAAAAGGTTTAACAGATGCACCATCTAGGTAAAAACACCATTCAACACAGCTTTTTAAGAAAAGCTCTGCTTTTTCCAGTACATGACTGTGCTGTGTTTCTCTCCCAAAGTTAAAATCTCACCCTTCTGATGCTATCAGCAATGTCACTTTTTTCTTCCATATCAATCAAAACCAGCGTCCTTTAAGAAGAAAAATCAATTTAGCCTATTAATTAGCTGAACTCAGTATAGTGCCTGTAGGCCAGAATGTCATTTCCCATAAGACTTGTTTTCAAAATACAAACAAAATTGGAGCACACGCAAGTTGTCATCACGAAGGGCTCTTAATACTTCAGAATACACTGGTAATCTTTATCCCACCTGATACAGACCTATTTAAATATTCTGATTAAATGTTGTTGCATTTGTTCTGGTTTTGTTTCTGCCACGAGGTAGATACAGGAACTTTAGTCAGTCAGTGTAGTCGGTGCCTGGGCAAAACATCACTACAGCAAGCTACCAGAAGGTTGTATCTGATAATGGATTATTTTCCCGTGCTATAAGACTCTTTATTTTCTCATCCCTCAACAAAAAAGATTATAAAATTTAGATCACCGACTCATAAATAAAGGAAAGCAAAATGAGAAAAAGTTATTAAATGAAAGTGGGTGTGTTGTAACTGTTACTATATATTCATGGTTACCAGGGTTCCTGTCTATGAAAGCTGCTTGGAGAGAGTTAATACATCTTAGTGAAAATCTGCTTTACTGTTGTATATTTTTGTTGACAGTAGTAAAGTGTATTGCAGTGAGCATTCAGAGTGGTTTGTCTTCTGAGCCCAGTGGTTGGTACGTGCAGTGTGGAGCAAGTGACCCTCAGGAACAAAGACAGTAAATTCATCTCAGTGTAACCCTTTATAAGAGCTGAACTGTGCTAACACCAGCCATGTAATGGGCTTGACAGAGTAGAAGGGTCCTATTCAAACAACAAAAAAAAGAACAAAAAGAGACCCAAAAAACCCCCTACTTGATTAAAATGTTTATCTGTCAAGAAACTTTACTTTCCTTCTCACTTTGTTATGAATTTTTGGCCATGTTTAGGACTTCAGCAATTACTATAATCTTGAGCAACGAAGCTTAGTTAAGGCCTGTATGATTAAAGTCATAAGCTGTTCCTGTGGACATGCCATCAGTATAGTCTTTTGTCACTTTCCCTTGTCATATTGTTTGCAGGATTTAGTTCTGTTGTTTGCCCTGATTTGTGTCTGTATTGTGCAGTGTTTTTCCAGAAGTTCACCTGGTTTGCACTGCTTAAAGTAAGAAAGAAAGAAAACCTCAGAAGCTGTTTATTCATTAAGTTCATATTAACCACTTGAAAAACTTCCCTCTAAGGAAACGCATGTGAGTATAATTTAAGCAAAGATTATGTTCTGCAGCTGATCTGGCCAGGAAGATGCCAGTGAGATTCTCCATAGCCACTCACAGGGCAGCTGGTAGGAATGGGACTGAAGATTCATTCAAACCATTCAAATATTAAAATCATATGCAAGAGGAAACAAGTAAAGAAAAATGGAAACCACAATAGTTACAAAAAGTGAAGCTTGTTGTCACTTCTTCAACTTGTATGTTTAAGAAAAGACTGAAATATTCTCAGGTTGCTGAACCCAAGAGTTTAAACATCCATTTGGGAAGATTAAGAATCATGTTGGTAGTTCTTATGTTCATAAAAATATTTGTTTTTCGAGTGTTTAAACTTTCTCTGACCTTCCTGGCAATAGACATAAATGACATTTAGAAACTGAAAAACTCAAGTTGCAGCACATACAGAGTATCCACGTGAAGATTCTCCACGTTTTCTCAGGTGCCTTCCCCACCTTGTCAGGGCTCCAAAAAGTGATGGCATCTTTCTGCCTTGTGCCTGTGAAAGAATTTCATACTGGGCTGACTCTTGTCCTCTCATATGGTGGGTGAGAAGTAGTGCTACCAAGTCCAGAATCCTGTCTACTTTGGAAGTGATTGGCATTGGAAAGCTACCCTGGCTAGGTAGGAACAATTTACACTGGCACCTGTTAGAAGTAGATCAGTCTTACTACGTTCTGACGGAGGTGGGGGTTTTTTTAGTCCCTTCTGGGAACAGAGCTACAGTAAAGAAGATAAACTTTGACATAAAAATTATGCCTGCATAGAGCAATAGTGATGTGAGAAGTTTGTTCCACCTATTTCTGAAGTTTCATTCTGTTTTTAAAATGAGAACATTTTAATTCACTTGTTACTCTACTGTTTTTTTAAATATGCACAGTGCTTTTTGTTAAGGGTGTTTGCCTGACCCTGAATTTTTCTCTGAACTTTTTCAACAAAAATGGTTAATGAAGTCACAGAAATTCAGTTAAATTATGAGGTGCTGTGCATCATCATAATCATGTCCTTGTTCATCTCCCTAGTTTGTAACAAATGTAATGCAAATACAGAGACTTCACTGAATTTTTAACTAATTCATTTTAATATGTTTTATTCTGGGCTTGGGTTTTTTTTAGATTGTTCTGAGATACTGGTTCTGAGGTTTGAGCAAGAGAGAAAGGCTTTGCTCTGCCTTTTAATGTTTTTGGTTTATTTGTTTGAGATTTTTTCTGTTGAATGCTCCTAATGTCACAGAGCTCTACAGCAGAGAATCTTGAAATTTGTGTACAGAGGGCTCATGAAAAAAGGTTTGGCTAAAGGATTAACTACTTTTTATCTCAACTTTAGTAAAGCTTTTGATGCTGTCTCCTTTAACTGTCTATAGACACTGGTGAATTATGAGTCAGGTAAGTAGGTGGAAGAGTGGACTGAAAGGATTGAAACCTTTCTGAACTGCTGGTGCTTCAAGATCAGCAGCAAAACATTTAGATAGAGACAAATCATTATTTCACACCGAGACCAACACTGTCAAAATTCTTTTTAAGGCTTAGATGATGGGGCAGGATGCACCCTTAGTAAGTCTGCAGCCAGTTCAAAATTAGGAGTGTTGATTAATGCACCAGTGGCTTGTGCTGCTATTTAGATGGACCTTGACAGGCTGGAGAAATAAGCCAACAGGAACCTCATGAAATTCAGCCAAGTCCTGCTTCTGGGAGGAATAGCCCTGGACACCAGTACAAGCTGGGACCCATGCCTGGGAAACAGTTTTCCAGAGGCCTCAGGGATCTTTGTGAATAACAAGTTGGGCATGAGTCAGTAAGACCTCTGTGACAAAGAACAAGCTTTTCCCATTAAGGTGGTCAAGCACTGGTTACCCAGAGAGGCTGTGCTGTCTCCATCCTGGGAGGAGATACTCAAAGCCCTAAGGAACCTGAACCAACTTTAAAACTGGATCTAACTTTGAAGTTGGCCTTGCTTTGATGAGATGGGAGGAAGGCTGAACCAGATGATCTTCAGAGCTCTCATGCAATCTAAGTTCTTCTGTAATTCTCTGATTGTAGCACAAATGTTATAAACAGTATTCCTTTCCCCACAAATAGCCCCAGGGGAAGATACAGGCAGTGGTCTTTCATGTTTGTTTGCTGTAACACAAACTAAATCAAAACAGATATTTCTGTGCCTTACAGTTTAATAAAGATTTTCCCATGTGTTGAATGTATGTAGACTAAAAATGTACAGTTTACTCAAATGTCATCTTCAACGTTATATAGTTTCTTTGCTGCTTTCTGTTGTTTACGTTGCGCCAAATGCTGTTCCAAGTCACTTTTTCGTTTCTCATGGGCAGTGTGTTTTACTCCTTTCCCATGTAAATGGTTCTCTTTCGAAGAATTCAGCGTTTCGGTTCTCCAGGACAATTGCTGGAGTTGTTATTGCAGTTCCCTTCCAAAAGGTACAAAGGCATTGCTGAAGGTGTTACAAACCAAGCTGTCCTCAATTTTTGTTGTGACTTAGCTGTAATGGGGGAGTAGCCTAATTACAAAATTTCTTCTCCACCACTTTTTTCCTCACCCCCCCAGTGAAGCTGGGTTGATCCTGCTTTCACCATCTAACCTGTGAAAAGTTGTCATATACCATAAGTTGATGTTCCAGACTTGAGTGTGGAAAAGGCAAATTTCTTCTCAGGGGAGCCTACTTTTAATATCAAATAGAATTATTTTTGCTCTCATAACGATATTGTTCTCTGAAATCCATGAAGTCTTCGTCAGCAATGTTAGATTTTTGCTTGTGTGGAATTCTCACTCTTGGTTATCTAGCTATTTGAATAGAATGAAAGTTTTGTAAAGAAAGATTTTGGGAAATACTACATTTGTTGAGTCAGAACCAAACCTGTTTGTTTTAGTTCAGACCACCCCATGTCTAACAGACTTTTAGTCCATCTAGACCAGGACACTGATACCTTTAATTTGTGCTGGTCACTCTAATGACTGGAGGTAAATGATTAAGATAGAAAGAATTATTTAAGGTCCTAATTTCTTGTTGATCTCCATAGAAGGTTGGGATTATTAGCATCACTGGACTTAATTTGCTTGTTAATTTGTTTTGATGGGAAATAACATGAAAATTATTGAAGTGCCTGGAGGAAGAGATTGTAAGGACTTTGCTCTGTTTTATTCTTGTGATTAAAGGAGGAAAGAAAGCTTTGGCATGTGGATTCTAGAAGTACTCAATCTGAAACTTTCCTGCTAGAGGAGGTGAAATGCTGATATTTGGGATCAGTAGGTACTAGCTTTGCCACGAGACATCACAATGAAGAAGCATCAGTTTGCATAAGATGCGTTTGCTGTTCCTCACACTGGGAATGTTAAGTGTTATTTGGAGTTACCTTCTGTCAATAAGAAAACCAGTCCTCAGGTTTGGCAAATATTAACTCAGATTATATTTGCTTCTGAATAATTTCTTTTATTAAAAATTCAGCCTTGTGCATAACTCTTTGAAGGGTTTGGACCAAAATTTTTCACAGGTGAAGCAAGTAGATTCTAACATGTTGGACTGTAAGAAATTTTAAAACATTTGGAAATCTGGGAAGCAGGTGATAAAACCCAAGATAGTATCCACTTTTGCTGGAGGGCATTGAAGTCTAGATGTTTTCTTTACCCCCAGTGGCAAGCTAATGATCTGTGGAATGAAGAGGAGACATGCTAAACACCCCTGCAAAGTCGTGTCATTTATGGTATCCTGCATTCATCTGCACTGATGTCACCCTAGACTGTAACCTATTCTCATTGTGCACCCTGTAAATAAATTAATGTTCGTCTGTTGCTACGTATAAATATTGTTAGAATTTTGACCCTTTGAGACACCATTTTTTAAAAGATAATATTTAAGAGCCAACACATTGTAACATTCCAGTTGGTATTTATGTTAATTTGAGTTCAATTTGTTCCCTAAGCATTTGAGATCAGCTATTTTTAGCCTGGTTTCCCGAGGAACTGAAGTTTATAGGATGGCTGTATCTATCCATCTGCCTTGCACGGGGCTTTTTGAAGCCAATGATCAATTATCTTGATTTGACAGAGAGAGTGAGGTTTTAATGCTGCTAATCTCTGTCAGGTTTCATTGATAGCCTTGGTTTGTTTGAAGAGAGGCACACAAATAACTACCCCATCCAAGGGAAAAGGTGTCAGGTAAGCTCGCCAGTGGTGTTGTGTGTGGATTGGTGGGAAAACAGCTGGGCCAGGATTCAGTGCTGCTTCTCACTCCTGGGGCAGTGAGAGAACATGAGCCTGAGCTGATGCTGCTGTGGCTAGGGGGGAGCTGGAAATATGTAGGTTGTGAAGTATGGGCTGGGGATGATGACAGCTTGGGGGGATGATGCGTGGAGATTATGGTCTAGGACCCCGTGTTCCTGTGGTGATGACAATGTATGAATATGTAGCAAGGAGTCTGTTGGGCATCAGGTTTTTTTATTGCTCTGGAAACTATTTGCCTTTAACAAGGGAAGCTATTGTATGGACACTATTCATGTCTCTGGAAGTCTGCAAAAACATATAGCTTATTCTTCATGTTGGGAGAGGGTTCTTGGTCATGGCACACAGGCTTTTTTATGGAGAATGTACACCTACAAAACAAATGATCTCAAAGTCCTTTAGAAACAAGTCAGGCTTTGTTTCTCCTTAGCCTCAATATAAATAAAGTTAGGCTTTATTTCTCATCAGGAATCTGGGAACGGGGGGAGAAATGAGGCACGCAATTTTAGTTATGAATGGTAACATGATTGTGGAAATGAGCTCTGAGCTCTCAGACTCTGTACCTAGAGATGATTTTAAAATAAATAAATAAATAAAATTCTAGCCAAGGCTTTTCCAATAGAGTTTGCTGCCAGAGGACAGTTCTCTGGTGTCAGTGACTGAGCTTAAAATACTTACATACTAAAATAAAGCAGAGTGTTGGGGGTTTGTTGTGGGGTTTTACCTTCTTCACTTCAGTATTTAAAACCTTTTTTGAGATCATCATCTATATAATCAATGATTATAATACTTACTTTACGTTTTCTTTATATGGAAGAAAAGTTCCATGCATCCCTACAAAGGGGAAGTTAGCCTCCAGAATCATCATGTTGTGCTCATCATAAAATACAGGATGTGAGTTTTGTTCAATGCCTGTTAGCTGAGATACTCTGTTTTATAAGTTGTATTATCAGCAAAGTCTGTTCATCTTTAAATCTCCGAAAGACAGTCTTGGGCTTTACACTGCCATTTCACTTCTTTGAGTGCTTTTAAACAAAAAGCAGACACAGGACTAGAATGTTGCACTGCCTTTGTCTGTCTCCTCCATAAAGCTTGTATGCATTTATCTGTCTGCTTACAGATAAACTTATACTGAAGCTTCCACAACAGGTGAACACTCTGCTTCCATCTGGTTTAGTAAGTTTTGGGTTACTTTCCAGAAGCCATTTCTCAAGGAACAGAAAGTATAGATTTTGGTTATAACAAACTAGCAAAGCAAGACAAAAGTGTTTCAGTTTCTCTTCTTTAAAGCTGATAAGCTGATTATCTCTTCAATTTTCAGAATCCAAATCAAAACCCCTATTTATAAGCCTTA